GTCAGGGTGTATGATCTTCTTGATGATCTTCTGTATTCTGTTTGCCTGTACCTTATTGAGGAATTTTACATCTAAGTTCATTAGGAAGTTTGGCCTGTAGTTCTCTTTTTTGGTTGGGTCTTTCCCTGATTTTGGAATCAAAATAATACTTGCTCCCTTTCAATTTCATTGAAAAGTTTAAAGAGTAGTGGCAATAGTTCTTCTCTAAATGTCTTGTAGAATTCAGCAGTGAAGCCATCAAGACCTGAGCTTTTCTTTGTTGGTAATGTTTTAATTACATTTTCAACTTCACTGAATGTAGTTGGCATGTTTTGATTTTTTTGTATCTTCTTCATTCAACTTTGGAAGTTCATATGCATCCAGGAATTAGTTCATTTCTTCTGTATTTTCCATTTTATTAGAGTATAGCTTTCAAAGTAGGTATTCATGATCCTCTGGATTTCTGCTGGATCTGTTGTGACTTCAACTTTTTCATCCTAATTGCATGGATATGAGCCTTCCTTTCCTTTTTTTGATAAGGTTGGCTAAGGGTTTATCAATTTTATTTATTCTTTCAAAAAAGAGCTCTTCAATTCATTGATTTTTTTGTATAGTTCTCTTAATCTCCATTGCATTAATTTCTGCTCTGATCTTTATAATCTCCTCTCTTGTATGAGCTTTCAGTTTCTCTTGCTCTTCTTTTTCTAGAAGGTTAAAATTAAGCATTAGGTTGTTTATTTGAGCTCACTCTGTTTTTCCAGTATGGACATTTACAGCTATGAATTTTCCTCCTAGAACCACTTTCATTGTGTCTCATAGATTCCTGTGTGTTGTATTGGCATTATCATTTAACTGTGCAAACTTTCTAATTTCTTCTTTAATTTTCTCTGTGACCCAATGATTGTTCAGCAGGGTGTTATTTAATTTTGATGTGTTTGTGATGTTTTTGTGACTTCTTCAGCTATTGATCTCCAATTTAATTGCCTTATGGTCTGATAATATACAGAGGATAACTTCAATTCCTTTGCATTTACTTAAGTATGTTCTATGCGCTAGCATGTGGTCTATTTTGGAAAATGACCCATGTGCAGCTGAAATAATATATATTCTGATTTTGTGGGTGGAACACTCTGTAGACAGCTACTAAGTCCATTTTTTCTAAGACTTGGTTCAGTTCTGTTTATTTCATTGTTGTTTTTTGTTTTTTGTTTTTGTTTTTGTTTTATTGTCTAGATGATCTATCTATTTGTGTCCGTGGAGTATCAAGGTTACCCACTACAATTGCATTAGTGCTTATTTTATTTCTCATTTCCAATAATATATGTTTTATATAGCTGGGAGCATTGGTATTCAGTGCATATATATTTATGATTGTCATTTCGTCCTCTTGTATTGTTCCCTTTACAGAGATGTAGTAACCTTCTTCATCTCTTAGTTTTTGTTTGAAATCTTTTCTGTGTGCAAATAAGATAGCTACCCACACTTTTTTCCAGGCTCCTGTTGCATGGAGAACTGTTTTTCATCCTTTTATTCTCAGTCTATGAATTTCTTTGTGGATTAAGTGGGGTTCTTGTATGCAGCATATTGTTGGATTTTGCTTCTTTTGTTTTTATTTTGTTGTTGTTGTTTTTTGTTTTGAGACAGGGTCTCACTAGGTAGTTGAGGCTGACCTGGAACTCACTATGTAGCCCAGGCTGGTCTCGAACTCACAGCGATCTTCCTGCCTCAGCCTCCCGAGGTGTGTGCCACCACGCCTGGCATGGGTTTTTCTTCTTAATCCATTCTGTCAGCCTACTTCTTTTGATTGGTGAATTGAAGCCATTAACAATGAAGGTTATAACTGTTATGTATTTTCCTGTTGTTGGTTCTTTTATTTTTTATTTTTCCCTCTCTCCCTTTAATTTCTTGCCTTGCCTGGTACATTTGCTCTGTTGGCCCTTACAGTGTTGTGGTCTTCATTTTCTTTTTCCAGGACATTGTTTAGAAGTGTTTGAAGTTCCAGTTTGACGGTCATGAAATTTCTCAGGTGTTCTTTGTCGTGCAAGTATCTTATTTCCCCATCAATTTTGAAAGACAGGTTTTCAGGATACATCAGTCTAGGTCGGAGGTTGATTTTTTTTTTTTTTTTTTTTTTTTTTTGTTTTTTTTTTTTTTTTTTTTTTTTTTTAGGACTTGAAATACCTCACTCCAGGCTCTCCTTGGCTTGAGGGTTTGTGTTGAAAAGTCTGCTGTGATTCCGATAAGCTTTTCTTTGCATGTGATTTGTTTCTTTTATCTAATTGATTGTAATATTTTGTTTGTTCTTCTGTTGGGTTTCTGGGATCTTGATTATTATATATCTAGGTGTAGTTTTTTGTTTGTTTGTTTGTTTTTATCATGGCTAGTTGGGGTCCTATATGCCATACAATATCTGTATGTCAAATTCTTCCCTTCTGGGAAGTTTTCTGTCATTAATTCTGTACACAGGTTTTTTTATATATCATTTAAACTTTCTCCTGCTACTTCATGGATTCCTATAAGTCTTATATTATTCTTCTTTGAATCATGAAGAGTTCTTGGATTGATTTCTCATGGTCCCTTACTGTTTTTAAGAGATCTTTCTTTTCATGGTCACTGACCGCAATTCTATGCCCTATATCTGAATTTCTGTCTTCACATGTGTTCACCCTGCTGGGAGAGCTTTTAGTGGAGTTTTTAATCTGGATATCTGTTTGAATCTGTTTCATGGATTTCATTTGTTTCCTATGTTGGGTATTCAAGGTTTCCATTTCTTTGCTATGCTGTGGATTCATGGTTTCCATCATGGTCCTGAGCTCATGTATTTTTTCACGTGTTTCTGTTCTAGAGTCTCTAATCATGTCTTTAATTCTTCTCAGCATCTCTGTGGTTATCTGGGAAAGTATTTATGTTTTGAATTTTCTAGAGCCTCATTTATCTGTTTTTGTTTGTTTGCTTGTTTGTTTTTTACTTCCTGTCCCATTGGTTCAGGGTGTCCAGATGGTTGACTGTCAGACTTTTCCACCTCATTTTCCCCAGAGTTTATCTTTGGTGAGCTGGAAGTCTGTGTTTGTGTCTTGTTTAAATGTCTTCTCATTTCTATTTTTGTTGTTGATCCTGTCCTTGATTTAATTCCTGGGTTAATACTTAGTTCTTCCAGATATAGCTCATCTTTAGGTTTTCAGTTTCTAATGTCTCTGAAGCAATCTCATTTTTACTATACCAGGGAGAACAACTGATTAGATCAATCACAACACCTTAGGCCAAGTGATACAATCAGCAACACAACAGCATCAAGCACAGCTTAGAAAATGACAACTTATGATAGTTATTATGTCTATCACCTTTCACTGTGTGAATTAAATCAAAATTGAGGACCAGCCCAAAATCTGTTTATAATGAATAAATTCTTCAATGTAGCAACTGTACCCTTCAAGATGGGGATTTAGAAGTAGTTGGAGAGGGAGAGATAGATAGGATAGAGAAAGGCTAAAAGTGAGGTCAGAGGACACAGGAAGATCACATAAAGTCTAGGGAGCTGTTGAAGAGAAGAGGAGAAAGAACAAAATATACCCAAGAACAGAACAAACTAACAGCAATAGGGAGCCTAGAGACTGTAATCTCTTCCTTTTAAAACTAATGTCAATTGAGAGAAGGAAAAAGAGAATAAAAGTAAAAGAAAATAAATTTGAATTAGGATATGAACAGGAATAAAAAGGGAGAGTAATGGAGATGAGAGAGAGAGAGAGAGAGAGAGAGAGAGAGAGAGAGAGAGAGAGAGGAAAAAGCAGATTAAAAAGGAAAAAACTGAGAGAAGAAAAAGAAAAAATTTAAATTATTGAAGAAAAGAGAAAAATACTACTTTAAAAATAAAAAGTACAAATAGAAATAGAGGGTCTCCTTCAGGGTATCTTTCTATTGACACAACAGACAGAGTGTGCAGGAGTATGCAGGTCTAAGTTAATTAGTCTCAGCAAGCCAGCAGCTGTCTCCTGAGGTTCAGGCTTATTTTTGGTTGCAAGACCCAAGTTGAGACCTCTGACCTCCTGCTGGGTTCAACTCTGCAAGGTTCTACTGCATATTCCAGCTGTCTTCCCTTGCAGTTAGACCAGCTTCAGATGTGAGGTGCTAGTCCCTCTGACTTACCAATTATGGTGGTTTGATGTGCCTTTATCCCAGATTTTCTTCACTTTTCCAGTGGTCTTCAATTTTCACCTAGGAGCCTCAGAGAGGGCCTCTTTCTCTTGCTCATTGAGCGGGGGCACTAACATCGCTATGTTGTCCCCCACTTGGGTGGGCTTCTCTGGCAAGCTGGGTTGAAGGGGCAGGCCTACCAGGGAGCAAATACTCTTTTTCTTCCATCCCCTTTTCCTCCCTGCATTCTCCCTTCTTGCTCTTATTTAGAAAAGCTTTGTTTCCATTTTCCTTCTTTTATCTTTTTTTTTCCCTCTTCCCCGCTCCCCCTTTCACAGTTTCCCTTTCTTTGTGAACAGTGAGAAATGGGCTTTTTAAAATGTTGGGTACATTGATATTTCCAATAACAACAACAAAAAAAGGTCTTTATGTTGGAAGGAAAGAAGAAAAGAGGAAGGAGGGAAGGAAGGAAGGGAGAATAGGAGGCAAGAAGAACTGGAAGAAAGCAAGGATAGGAAGAGGGAGAATAGATATTATATAGGCACCTAATGCAGACAGCCATGGCGTTGAGGTCATCTAATGTAACTCTCAACTTATCACTATTTTTGTACTGGAGAAAACTAGATCAAGTCAGTTCATGTCATGGCTGGATTTGAAGTTCACAAGTGAGCTCCCAGCACAATGGTGCTCTTCCCACTATTCTTATTCCAAAAAATATGCAAAAACATACCCAGCTACGTTGATACTACCTTTTCTTCTCCTTACTCCCTCAGCTCTGCCTATCCTGCAACTATGAAGGTTGTTCAACACAGAAAATCTTATTTTTTGGATTTTATCATCATGTGTCATGTTACTTACTATGACAACTAATTTCTACTATTTTAATGCAGGACTGTGGTTTGTTGATTCACCCAGAGGAAACTTGTGGGTTACAGCCTATTTCTTCTGACTATATTGAAGCCATTTCACAGCCAGAACTAAGGAATTGTCCATCTGGGGACACAAAAGGTGACTATCACATTGGGTATCATTTCTCTTTAAAAATCCTTTTATATAGATAAGTATATGCTTATTTAAACTAGATACAAATTCAAGGACATTATTTTTTCATTAGTATAAAGTGTTACATATAGTGGATGTAAACATAATGTTTTAATATTTGAGATACTTTTATTAATCAAGTCCTCTTCACCCTCCCATTTGGCTAGTTAGCCATTTGCACCTACAGACCTCAGCTCAATACAACTTATGCCAGAGTTTTCTTACTTTTTATTTTTTTTTCTGGTACCAGGGATCAAACTTGGGTCCTTGAGCTTGCGAGGCAGATGTCAGAACCACTAAGCTAAATCCCTGGCCCATGCCAGAGTTTTCTTAAGTCTCTAGTTTGTTTCTTTATATATTTGTTGAGACTGTACTTTTCTTCTATAATAATTACCTTAATTATTTAAATAGTTAAATATGTAATTAATTACTTAATGTCAGTTTTCCCAGAATATCAGCTCCCTGAGGGCAGAGAGACAGACTTGACCACATTACACAGATTCGCTTGGCACCTGAATTTGTACCTTGTAGGCAGAAAATAAATATCTGTGGTGAACTAAAGAACCATAAAGGGTAAAACTTAGGGTTTAAAGAATTTATTTTCTTTTTAAAATCCTTGGGAATGATTACTAATGTCCCTTATATATTGGGCATTAATAGAGGTAGGAAAATTAAGGCACCAAATTCAAACTATAGTGTTAAAGCCTGCCTAAGCCTTGAGCAGACCTGGAATGAGACACTTCATCAGCAGTGCTGTCCTTACCCCCTTTCCCTTTACCAGGGCATCTTCATTCTGTGAAGAGAGTGGGGTTTAGCCAAAGCCAGGGCTAAAACTATAAAGTGAGAACAAGAACAGGGAGCATCTTCTCCAAGCTTCTAGGTTACCACTCGGTCCTCTTGACCCTGGGTCTTGCTTCATCGCAAAATACTCTGGAGCTTTTCTACCCTTCCCATGAACTTCACACCATTGCTTGCAGGGGAAATGTGTTTCCCAAATGGGCAGGGCAAATTGCAATTTGGTACGCACAGTTAACAAATGTGGGCACGTCCCTGTTTCTGCACATGTGTTCTAAATAACAAATTGCAGTTAGTGCATGGAGAGGGATTTACGCATTATGGTGTGTCCGGTGGTGTGATTTGTGACTGTCTGCTAAATGAGACGCACACTCTTAACATACATCTTAACTGATGTGTCCAGTTAAACATTTTTTGTTCATATGACAATTTATAACAATCATAAAACAACTTAATTCTATTCCTCCTACCAAGTCAAAAGTCCTTCGGTAATGAGTTCAAGATACATAACTGGGATTCCTCAAAAGTTCTCCCCTTGTAAGTTTGAGGTCACTTGTGTCAGGCTCTGTTATGTGCTGCTTCTGTGTCTGGACTTTCCAGGAGGTACTGTTCTAAGTACATCTCTTGGTACCTTATTGTGTGAGCTTGATTCAACAGTCAGGGCTTTAGAGAAGCCCTAAAAATCAATTGCTAAATCAAGCCCATGATTCTGAGCCTGAAAATTCAAGGCCTCTTTACTCCAGCCCCTGCCTTTCTTGTTCACCTCCTCCCAACCTCTCTGCTTCACTTTCTGTGGACCACGTTGCTTCAGGGCTCCAGGTTTTTCTCCATACTCGTTTCCTGCCTGAAAGTCTCCTTATCTTTGCCTAGCTTCTTCTGTTACTGTCTTCTTCTCAGGAAGCCTTTCATCATCAGGTTCCCAGTTTAGCTTTTCTCCTGTGTTTCAAGTGAAAGACTAGTCCCTGTTATACAATACCTTTACTGTATTCTGTTTACAGAATGTATTTACCTCTCTCTGTCTGTCTCCTTCTCTCTCTCTCTCTCTCTCTCTCTCTCTCTCTGTCTCTCTCTCTCTCTCTCTCTCTCTCTCTCTCTCTCTCTCTGATAGTGGTTTCCAAAATGCACACCAGGAAGGAGAGGGACCAGCATATGGCAATCCATAGGAGTGAGCCTAATAAAGATAAAAATATATATGCATTTATCTCATCATTTTTATTTTCATGTTTTAGAACACACATAAATACAGAAGTATCTGTACATATACTGCAGTGTGTACTCGTGTCAAGGCAATACATATTTGTCAATGATTTCCCTAGTTTGTATGTTTCTCCAGAGCATGAATTAGCTCTATCTGTCGGTATCTAATATATGACTAAATAGTTGCTGAACTAAAATGAAGATCTTGAAAGTCTTCCCTTCCATGGAAGACTGTGAGCAGCCAGGACACCATCCCCCAATGACTGTTTTCCACTGGAACTCCTAAAGGCTGAGACTCAAAGTTCCTCTGAGGGAGGTCAAAACAGCAGCTTCCAGGATATATTGTTTGCTGCCAGAGATGATTTCCTTCCTTAAGAGTTGGATTTCCTCCTATTGAAAGGACAGATTTCATGGTGGACAACACTGGAAGGAAGCTTATTTAGGAGCCCTAGGTTTAAACTTACATAGCCAACCACATTCTTATTCAAAAAAACCTTACTTTAACAGAACATTACATTCTTTCAACAAAACTGGACCAATTATTCACATTGTAAAATGTTTTTTCAATAACTATCTAATATATTTTTAATAACTGTATTTTTATTCTCAAGTTCATGACTATTGTTTAGGAAATAATTTAACTAAGAAATAACCTAAGAATTAAATGTATTAGTAAAGAAAAAAGTAATTCTTTTAATTTGAAGAAAGAAGAAATGTATTCAGTGATCACTGAATGATAGTTGACTCCAAGGAAAATAGCTCAGAGTTTGATTTACAGTGAGTACATAAAGGATTTTGTTAAATTTTATTTTTAGCAAGGAGATATGACAGCTCTAACATTTCTAACATCTAAAATACAGATGTATTTTTCTTCTTTATAAAAACCACCACATTTCATAATATTATAAAGCCAGCAACCACTGCTAGCATACATGATTTTACATCTCACCAGGACCCTAAATCACAGTTGAGGTTTTTTTCTCTGTTGTATCAACAGATCTGATTCATTTAAATGGCAGAAATCTAATTTGCATTAAACACAGAGATATAAATAAAATAACTTCTAAGAATCAGTTTCATTCCTCAGAGTGTTATTCCTTAAAACATGTCATATTTTATGTCAGAAATATCAGTTTTGATTCATTAAATATTTAAAATATATAATATTGACTTTATGTCCCTCTTTTTTTGATAATTTTAGTTAAAAGCTAGTGTCATTTAAAATGTCAGGAACTTCATCCTGCAGATGTTATACAGATAGCTATTTCAAGCAGTATTAGTAACTCATAAGAAATAAAAACCATTTTTAACCAATACAAAAATGAAAAAAGTCATGACGGTATAAATATATAGTAGGATGAGCCATTGGGGTCAAGCTGTCAAAGACCAAAACAGGCTTCCTTTTCATGTGCATGCAATTTTATAACAACAAACTTACTGCACCCATATTTGGGTTTTTGTATGTGAATTACATCTTCATCCTTAGCAGCAAGTAGTCAAAGAGGACCTTGGTTTTTGAAAAATTAGCTGCCAGATTTAGATACTGGGAAATCTGATGAAAACTTGCAAAAAAACAAGTGTGCCTCAACATACTGACATCTTATTATAAAGAAAATGAACAATCTTTGCTGTTAAGTATAGTCCCTGTCAACACATGAATCCACGAGAAAATTCAGATCCTTACAAATTAATTGTAACAACCAGCTTGTGGGGTCTCTAGTAGTGCTGCCAAAGTGATGGTTGGGCCATATTTTATTTTCAGGTGATAATTATGATTTTGATTTAGCCTAACATGATAAAAAGAGCTGCAGATTAGAGAATGGTTTCTGACCCTACCCTGTTAATGAGCAGCATTGCTCTACTTCAGTCATTTCATGCTATGGACCTTGGCTCATCCGGCCTCTAAAACAAGAAGGTGGAAAGGACAAGTTCTGATGTACTTCCAACTTTAGCCAAGTTGATTTTGTGAACCCAGTAAATGTAAATCTCCATGAAGAAAGACCTCTACCTTTAAGGAAGTTTTCTTGATGAATTTATCAATAAAGTTTAAAATTTTGGCTCCCTATAAATCAAACTATTAGGAGAAGCCAAAGACAGACAAAAAGGAGGTTGGTTATTGATTACAAAGCACCTTTGTCAGGGAAAAGTCAGATGAGATGGGAGCATTCGCAGTGGTATGGCCATAGGGTGTCAGGGCAAAATTAGAAAGCCAGATATATTCTGGATGAAAAAGAAAAATTAGAAAGAGAAATGTATAGAGAAATGGACACTTTTGAGGACAATCTTTATTTTGACATTTGTAAACCAGAACCTCTCCTACACTGCCTTTCTTTTAGTAGTTTACTACTTTCTATATCTGGTAACTTTGGAAACTTTGTTCCTTCTGCAACCCTCACACCACCCCCAAGTTAAGGCCAGACAGTTCTTTGTCCATCAGGCCCATCTGTTCACTGTCATCAAAGTACCATGTCTCCGAATCTTGTCTATCCATAAATCCTGCTCACATTTTATCTTCTCTATGGAAAAATCCAGAAAACTCTTAACTTCTGTCACTCTCTTTAGTCTTCTTTTTATTTTTAATGTGACTCTCTTTATTCTGAACTATTGTGGGTTACTTGGGGTGAGGGCATAGAAGCAAAATATATTCAACAACTGCTAGGTATCAGGCACCATGGCAGGTGCTATACAAATAATCCTAATGAAGTAAACTTAGTTATGAATACATTAAGTAATCTGTCCAAATGAAACAGTAGATGGTAGCCTTGGCTACATGTCGGAATCACCCAAAAAGCATTTTTTTTCGAAACAGACATGTGGGAGTCCTTCCAATAATTAGTGTTTCTGATTTAATCAGTTTTAGGTATAAGCTGAGCATGGAGAGTTTTAAAAGCTTTCCAGGTGCTTCTAATTTGCAATCATTGTTGAGCTCCTCAGGGCTATTGGAGGAGGAGCAGCCCAGGTGTGTGTCTGTCGCCAAAGCCTAGACTCTTCCATGGGCACAGATATTTTTACTTAATTGTATAGTACCTGTTATGATGCTATAATTCTTCTTACATGTGCAAATTGTACCTCTTGAAACTGAATTTCAATTTTGAGGTGTAGCATTACAGTTAAGAGCACGAGCTCTTGAGCTGATCTCCCAGTTCAAATCCTGATCCTACTACCTCCTTTCTGGAGGTCAAAAATTTTCCGAGCCCAAGTTAAAGAGGTGATAATAGAGTTGTTCTAGGGTTTAAATAAGTTACTGTATTAAAGCATCTAGAATATCCCATGAATCTGAAACTGCTATAAAAATGTTAGCTATTTTTTAAGTTAGTATGAGATTATAATGTCAATAGCACCTAACACTTCAACAGGGTTATTAAGTTACAATATATGAAGAGGGATAGAGGACTGGAGTACCACACACCATTCCTGAAATACTGTAGAAAATACTTATTAGTTAGATATTAAATAAGGCATGTAAAGGTACAAGACCCCAATAATGAATGTAACTGTACTGTATACCTAAAATGTACCAATAAACTCAATTAAAAATAAATAAATGAATGAATAAATAAATAAGGCAGCTTTCTGGAATTCTTGTTACATTTAAAATCAAAGCAAAGATTTTATGGCAAGAAAAACAAATATGTCTGCATTACTTTTGAGTTCTAGCTCTGTATTTCTGCTTCAGTTGATATTATACCTCCCTGAAGTTATTCTGTTGTACATTTCTTCCTTTCCCTAAGATTCATAATTGTCTCATCTCCTTTTTCTTTTGCTTTCTCTTCTCCAGTTTCTCTTAATATCCTCACATATTTTCCCCTCTTTGAGGTCATTTGGTAAAAGCCAAAAACTATGTTCTCTTTTATATTTTAGTGTTTATAACTATTTCCCCAAACAATACTTATATAATTCAGACATCTTTGAGCTCATGAATGTAAACTGTATTGTATTTATGGCTTGAAAATAGAAATTATTCCCACTGAAGTTCCTATCATATGAAAGACTTTTGCCAGCAGCACCACAAATTAGAGTCAGAATGGGTAAAGTATTTTCCCTTTATAACTCCAAAAAGTAACTAACTCGTCTAGTCACCAAAGTTGAATATGATACTACAATTGAGCTGGGCCATTAACTACATTATTCCATTATATCCTTGCACTAATCACATGAGAACACAAAACACAACTCATAGATGAAGACATTAAGGGAACATAGCAAGAAAGAGATGAAGCAGTTCACACCAAAAAGGCCATCAGTTAAATAAAAGAATAATAACCAAGCTCCAAAATAAATAATATGTTATCAGAATACTGAAGTAATCCTTTTATATTTTAAATCTTTTGCAAGCAGAGAATATATCTATGATTGGACTGGTAATTTAAGCATGCCTTACATTAAGAAATATTTGTAGTAAAAAGGCAATGGGGGGAACTCCTTGTACTTTGAAGTGCTACTGTACTGTTTGAAAATAAGTGATTGTGTAGTACCTGATCACTTAGCATTTTTTATAAGTACTTTATTTTATGGGCCCAGTTTCATACTTGATTTCAAGGTGAGCCACGTTATTTCAGACCATCACTATATGTTGGGTCTTCTACTTCATTTCAGGGAGGCCATTGCTCCCTTGTATTTCTACAAGTCTGAGAAAGATCTTCTTGCTGTAATTTCTGTAATTCTATGCCATATGCTTCATTCTAAAGTTAGTTGCAAACTATAACTTTACCAATAGAACCTTTCACCAAAGGAAGTTCTGCAATGTATTCCAGGTCAGTGGATTGTTCCTTGCCTTAGTTGTTCAGACAACAGGACCTGTGACTGGAGAGAAATCACTTGGCAGCCCCACAACTGTCAACACGGTGTCCTGACAAAGCCTCAGCTCCAACAGTGCCTGGGAGGAAGAAAGGTAGGTTCTGGATCCAGTCCAAGACACTGTTTAAATTTTTGCCACCTGCAGCCTAAAAGCCAGACAATTGTATGTACTGTATCAATTCTGTTCTCTCACTCTACAGAGAAAAACTAACAGAATGTGACTTGTCCTTTAGAATTATACACAGATGTTGTGATAGAAGAGTTTTCATAATTCTTGTTCAAATTGTTCATTTTTCTCCAAATCAGTGCATTTGACAGATGGAGGATATTAAATTGTGTCCTGCACTGACCCAATCCCATGCTGTTTTGTAGCATGAACTGGTAGGAGTCTGCCATGTCAACCAGCAGTTGGCAGTTTGGAGCAGCTGGGCTTGTCAACTGTGGCTCCAGCAGGCACTGTTCTTGAAACAGACATTTGTAGCTCAGGACAAGCAATCAAATATTCCTGCATGCAAGACTCCTAGAGCTAACCAAGTGCATAGCATTATTTTAACACTCTAACTTGCTGATCTTTCTTTTTCACATTACTGGGAAGGTCTCACTGGACTTCAGTAGGCTGATTTTCTCTTTAATGTGGCTTCTAAGCTGTTTCTTGGACGTACATGTCTTCTTGCTAGGCATGGTCTGACTAGGTAGAGTTCTGCAGAGTTCTCAAACATGCAGAATGGGCCCATAGACTGAGATGCTTGGTTAATATCAAGTAAGTAATCTTCCTAGATTTTTCAAAGTACTTTTTGTTAGATGGACATTTCCTTATGGACTGAGTGTAATCTCTCACATGAATAAAGTTGATTTCAAAAGCTGGTGTGTACAAAACTCTATTAATGCATTTTTAAAGATAGAATGTATACCAGATTTGCTATGAGCAATTAAATAATGATAAGAGTTAAGGAGCAGGAAAAGAAGATAAGTGTCTTCTTCCTGATTTCAATAAATACACCTTAGCTTTCATGACTGAGAATAATCTTAATGATAAAACAGCAATATTAGTTACTTGTTAAAAGGGAAGGAAAGAAAATAGTATTTGTTGTTGTAAGAAACATTAACTAAGCATTGATTCTCTGCAAGGAACTGTGAACCTAATTTTCTTGTACCTTAAATTCCACCAGACTGTAGGCCATAAAAAGGGCATGGAATGTATAATAAGTCCCCAATTTATGACATTTGAATAGAAATGTTCATAAGTGTACTGTATAAGATTCACAGGTGTATTGTGTAAGACACTTGGTCATATTACAAATAAATCCAATTTAAGAGTGTTCCCCTGGAATGGAGCTCATTTGTAAGCAAGGGACTTACTGTATTTGTCTCACTGCTCAAATCTCTTTGCTGAGAACAACTTTTAATATATAACAATCACTTAATAAATAGTTATAGGACTGAGAATGTAGCTTAGTGCTAGAGAGGATGCCTAACCCTAACATATGCTAGGTCCTAGTGGTACACCACAGCAGAGCAGCTCAGCTTACTGTGGTAGCCAAGTGTTACAACTCAGTGTCATAGCTAAGTATCACAGCTCAGAAGCACAGCTGAGATTTACAGCTCAGTGTGGTGGCTCTGGAACACAGCTCTTGTAATATGAAGACTCAAGAATCTCATGGTCAGTTGAAGAGGTGAAAAAAGAAAAAACCTTTATTGTGCCATCAAGCCCTGGTAGGGTCAGAGGAGTCTGAATACTCTACCAGAATTGAGAGCTTCCTTACATAGGGATCTACAGAGCAGGCAATCATGCTCAATGAAGAAAAAGGATGAAGTTACAGAGCAATCCTGAAGCAAAAGGGCAGAGTTACAGAACATTCCTGAAACACATGCTGTGTGAGCATGCACACTGAAACAGGGGGATGGAGTTATAGAATATTCCTGAAGAAGAGGAGCAGAGTTACAGAACATCCCTGAGAGGGGGCACAGAACCTGCTTGTGAGGGGGCAGAGCTTAACAGAACATTTCTGAAAGGTCACACAGATCAAATAATCACAAACCATTTTTTTCATTAAATGTATTGGTACTTTTTAGGTATACAGTACAGTCACATTCATCATTGGGATCTTGTACCTTTACATGATGTATCTTGGTTCTTGTTTTTTTCCCATTCCCCTGTCCTCCCGTCACCCGCTCTACCCTTCCCTATTTACAAAGACTTTGTTTCCATTTTTTCCATTTCTCATATTTTTTATTTTCCCTTTTCCTTTCCCCTACCCTTCCCACTTTCCTTTAGACCTCTTCTTCCTATTTCACATTATCAGTTATACAATTTGAAGCTTATTTATACTTTTAGTTATTCACACCAGAGAAACTATTTGGTATTTACACGCATGTCCTATTTATTTCACTTCAGAGTATGACCTCAATATGCATCCATTTAGTTACAGATATCTCTGGTTTCTCATTCTTTATGACTGAGCAGCACTCCATTTTATATTTTTTAAAAAATCACATCTTCTTTATCCAGTCTCCAGTTGATGGGCAATTGGGCTCTTTCCAAATTTTAGCTGTTACATACTGTGCCACTATAAACATGGGTGCGCATATGTCACTGTGGTATGATTCTTTTAATTCTTTTGGAAAGATACCCAGCAGAGGGATAGCTGGGTCAAATGGGAACTCTATACTAGTTTTTTTAAATATCACCATATTGATTTCCACAGTGCAGTAGTCTGCACTCCCAGCAACAATGGAGAAGTGTTCCTTTCTCCTCACAATCCCACCAGCATTTGTTATTGGTTGATTTCTTGATAGCAGCCATTTTTTCTGAGGTGAGATAAAATCAGCATTGTTTTCATCTGTGTCTCTGAAATAACCAGTGATGTTGAACATTTTTTCATATATTTATTTGCTGCTTTTACTTCTTTCTCTAGGAAATATCTGTTCCTTTCAGATGCCCATTTTTGAATCAGGTCTTTGTATTGGGGGGGATCTAATTTTTTTTTTAGTTCTTTATATATTCTAAATAGTAATTCTTTGTCTAAGGAGTATCTGGTAAAATTTTTTTCCCACATTGTAGGATGTCTCTTAGCTCCACTGGTGATTTCTCTTGCACTGCAAAAAGTTTTTTTTAATACAATGAGATCCCAGTTGTTGATTTTTTGTGTAAATTCTCATGCTGCTGAGGATTTGTTCATAAATTCTCCTCCTATGCCAATGTCTTGGAGATTTCTAGCTAACTTATCTTTCAGCAAGTTTAGTGCTTCTGCTTTAGTATTTAGATCTTTAATCTGCTTCTATTTTAATTTAGTGCATGGTGAAAGATAGAGATCTAATTTTACTCTTTGGCGGGTTGAAATCCAGATTTTCCAATACTAATTATTGAAGAGGCTATCTTTCCTCCACTGAAGATGGTTGGCTCTTTTGCCAAAGATGAGGTATCTGAGTATTTCTGGAATTGTTTCTGTATCTTCCAATCTGTTCCACTGATCCTATGGTCTGTTTATGCCAGTATCATGCTTATTATAGTGGTTTTGTACTATAGTTTCAAGTTGAGAATTGTGATAGCCCCTGTCATGTCTCTGTTGCCTAGAATTGCTTTTGCTATCCTAGTTCTCTTCTGGTTCCAAATGAATTATGGGGTCATTTTCTCTAGTTCTGTGAAATATACTTTTGGGATTTCAAACAGATTTCATTGAATCTGTATAGAAGTTTTGGAAGTATAGCCATTTTTACTATGTTGGTTCTTCCTACCCAGGAGCAAGGGTTGTCTTTCCATTTTCTTATATGCTCTTTGATCTCTTTTTTTAAAGAGTGCTATAGTTTTAAGTATAGAGGTCTTTTGCTTCCTTCATTAGATTGATTTATAGATATTTCATTGTCTTTGCTTTTTGGGGGAGGGGTTGAGAAAGGGTCTCACTATGTAGTTGAGACTGACCTGGAACTCACTCACTGTGTAGCCCAGGCTGGTCTCGAATTTACAGTGATCCTCCTGCCTCAGCCTCCCAAGTGCTGGGATTACAGGTGTGCACGACCACGCCCAGCTTGTTCATTGTCTTTGATGCTGTTGTGAAAGGTATTCTTTCCCTAATTTCTCTCTCAGTGAGTTTGTTATTTGTGTACAAGAAGGCTGTGATTGCTGAGTGTTGACCTTGTATCCAGCTACACTGCTGAAAGTGTAAATTAAGTCTAGAAGTCTTTTGGCAAGTTTTTTTTGGATCTTCTATGTAGATTATCATATCACCAGCAAATAATGACAGTTTAACTTCTTCCTTTCCTACCTTTATTCCTTTTATTTCTTTCTCTTGTGTAATTACTGTGGCTAATGTTTCCAGAACTATATTGAACAAGAGTGGTGATAGTGGACATCCTTGTCTTGTTCCTGATGTTAGCATGAAGGTTTTCAGTTTTTTTACCATTTAGTATGATGTTGGCTATCGGTTTTTCATAGATAGCCTTTATCAAGTTAAGGCAAAGACCATCTATTCCAATTTTCTGTAGGGTTTTTGTCAAGAATAGGTGTTGAATTTTGTTGAATGTTTTTTCTGATATGGTTTTTGTCCTTGACTCTGTTAATACAGTGTATTACATTTATTGATTTACATATGTTGAACCATCCTTGCATCCCTGGAATAATTCTGACTTGGTCAGGGTGTATGATCTTGATGATCTTCTGTATTCTCTTTGCCACCATCTTATTGAGGAATTTTACATCTAAATTCATTAGGGAGATTGACCTGTACTTCTCTTTTTTGGCTAGGTATTTCCCTGGGTTTGGAATCAAAGTAACACTTGCTTCCAGGAATGAATTTGGAAATATTACTTCCCTTTCAATTTCACCGAAAAATTTAAAGGGTAATGGCTATAATTCTTCTCTAAATGTCACGTAGGATTGAGCAGTGAAGGCATCAGGACCTGGGCTTTTCTTTGTTGGCAAATTTTTAATTACATTTTTAATTTTGCTGACTACAATGGGGATGTTAAGAATTTTTATATATTTTTGTTTAAATTTGATAATTCATATGAATCTAGAAATCTGTCCATTTCTTCTGTGTTTTCCATTTTATTAGAGTACAGGTTTTCAAAGTAGGTATTGATGATCCTCTGGATTTC